CACTACAGACCACTCTTCACCCCCCCCTTTCTCCATCGGGGTTCCCCCCTCTGGGTTTGAGGCCTCCCTCCCACCTCCTGACTCCTCAACCGCCACCCCCGGGACATTGCGGCGATGCCGCGGAAGAAGAACCGGAGGGGAGGGCACACCCTGCCCAACAAGCCCAGCACCTTTAGCCGCCTCACCAATTTTTTTCCTCCTAACCGGAGGGACAGGCACAGAGGGAGACACAGACAACACTTGGCAGGGGAAGACACACTCACAGAAACAGATACAACCTTGGGGGAAGAGGAAAACACAGGGGAAGCAACATCAGGAAAAACAGATGATCCCTCCGCCGATGCCGCGGCTACAGCCACCGCATTGTACCGAGCCTTGGAGGCCTCATTAAGCTCTTCCGCTTCCAACCTCAACAGTTCGTCTATTACCTCCGGCTGGTTATGGAGTGCCTCAGGGCAACGACTATATGAGTGGCCTAGCCTAAGGCACAGGTTGCACCTGATTTCGTTGCAGTCCTTAACCAGATGCCCAATCCCCTGGCACAATGAGCACTTCAGGACTGCACATCCTGACGCAAAATGCTGCTTGCTCCTACACCGATGACATAACTTCGGTTGGCCTGCATAAAAAAATAATAAGTCTGTCTTTCCCAAGGAAAGCGGAGGAGGGGAGGTGTTTGATCACATTATCAGTGACCTGCAACCTCATCGTAGCCATCCAGCCGCCTGTCCAAATTCCCCTGTCATCTAGTATCTTCCTTATTGGGCCCAACACATCCCCATAGCAGCCTAGCCAAACCATAATGTCCGCTGCTGGGATGGACTCATTTCTCACCAGAATGGTCACATTTTTTACCAAAGGCTGACGGGAGATGACCCTCGGGGTTAAACCCGCCCACCTGGGAGACCCCTTCCACCTATCATCATACCTTTGCCAGAATAAATCCAGACCATCAGCCCTCACAAAAGATACATCGTATTCACCTGCACCCACAGGAGCAATAAAGGCAAAAATCTCACTAGCCCTGAAGCCCATTTCTATAATTCTGTCTATCACCTCCCTCCTATTTGGGGGGGCGCCCTCACCCGTCCATCATAACTGGACCACGTCACACTGTGCCACTAAAGAAGGGGAACCCCCAACCCGGGACTCTAACACCCCCCTCACCCCCTGGCCTCCCCTGACCGCTGCAGAATAACTGATAGAGCCCGCAGCTGGGATTGACCCAGGGGGAGCAGAGGAGGCACGGATGGACCCTTGAACAGCAGGGATGGGATGAGCAGAGGGAGCAGGGATGGACCCCTGGACAGCAGGGATGGGATGAGCAGAGGAAGCGGGGATGGACCCCTGGACAGCAGGGATGGGATGAGCAGAGGGAGCAGGGACTGGCCCAGAGCCAGTATGGATGACAGGAGCAGGGACTGCCTTACGGGCAGCAGGGAACAAGGACAGACCCAGGAACTGTAAGAGCAGAACTAGAGATCACAGACTTTACACTCTCCCCACCTGGTGCATCACATATCATCTCCTCCTCCTTCCCCACCAAACTCTTACCCTCCTGCAGACTCATGGCTGTAGCCAGTCCTCCAGCGTCACAGACACGCTGGTCTCTGTGCACAGATTCAGTTCCATCTCTGGGCGGGGCCACTCCACTCTTCATCCCATCACAAAGACCAGAATATGACTCACCACTGGGCATTGACAGTCCTCCCCCTGCTGCATCAAAGAGACCCAGAGCCAGCATTGTACTGCCAGTGGGCGGGGACACTCCACGATCTTCTAAGCCACAGGGAATCTGAGCTGCAGACACACCCACCCCTGCCTCTGGGCAGAAACACCTGGTCTTCCTCCATGCCATTAGGACACTGACTTGCAGGCACACCCCCGCTGCTGGGCGGGACACCCCGCTCTCCTTCACACCTCCAGACTGCATACTGACATCCCTGGGCCGGGACACCCCGCTCTCCTTAGCACCTCCAACACTTAGACCACTGGATTCAGCCACCACTTTACTGCCGGATGGGTTCACTCACAACACCTCTGACACTCTCACTCCTGCTGCTGCAGACTTCACCAATTTGCTGGGAATCCTTTCCAAGCTGACAAACACCACTCTTTCTTTCTCTCTGGGCTTAGCTGCTTCTTACACCTGTCATCCTCATCCTCCGATTCCTCGGATGTAAAAGCAAACTGCTTTACATGTAAAGAGGACTCCATTTCTTTAATAAATTGCATAGTTCCAGCTCTCTCAGCCGCCTCCACTTGAGACCCCCAGTCCAGGGGCTGCTGCTGGGGGGGGATGGAGCCGGACCCCACAACCTTTACTGCAGGTGATACTTCCTCAGCATGCAATGGGGGGCTGGCCAGATCAGCCTCCACCCGGCAGGCTCCCTCACCTGCCGGTGCATCAGAAAACTCCTCCAGAGATAACTCCTCCTCAGCATAACCACAGGCCTCTGCCACAAGCTTGCTCCTTGCAGATCTAAACCTGTCTTCATTAGTATATCTTTCCCGCAGGATTCCACTGGCTGCTTTTAGTGCAGCAACCATCTTGACCTGCTCGCTGACACGCTGTTCCAGGATCTCCAACTGAGGCTTCATGGTTTGGCGCTTGGAGGACCAGACCCGGTCATGCGAAGCCCTGAATTTCTTCAACTCCAGTCTCAGCCCACTTAACTTTTCCTCCTCCTTGTTCAAGCGGTTGATATGGGCCACAGTGCGCTCTCTGTATTTCTCTCCTGGCCTAGGGCCCATTCCGAGGTCCTCCACTGGTGTTTTTGTGGGGCTGGTACTAGGGCCCCTGGGGGGCCCCCGCCACCAGGATCCTGCACAGGAACACTCATCCTTCCTGGGCAGGGAGAGGAATCCAGTCAGTGGTTCCAACAAAGGCCTCCAGAAGCTCAGAGCACAGCTTGCACACCACCTTCCACGACAAGCTCAGGAATGGAGATTTTTTATTTGTATTAAAGTCATACAAATCACCTATCCAATTATTTACAAAAATACAAAAATATATAAATATAAATAAATAAATACAAACATAAGCCTTTCCCTCATGCACAAAACTCAAAAGTCCAGGAATTTCCTAAAAAGAAAAAAAAACTCAACATAATAGATACGGCCTTCATGGCCCTTAATAAGGCAGTCCAAGGTCTTTCATGGCCTAAACATAAGAGTCCATATCTGGAAAAAAAAGAGGCCTTTATGGCCTACAACACAAAAGTCCATCACTTGGAACAAAAAACATAAATATCTGTTCCCTTCAGGCCTTTATGGCCAGGAAACAGCAAGCATAAAAATAAACATAAAAACATAAAAACAGCCACAGTAAATAGGCCTTTATGGCCAATAAACTTAGCAAGAAATAAACAATTTCCATTGTACTGCTTCAGGAGGCCTTCATGACCCAAACACACCACATCAAAAAAAAGAATACATACCCATGAAGGAGGCTAAGAAACCAGATCTTCAGCGCCTGCAGCCTTCCATCAGAAAGGATCCACAAATACAAAATCTAGGGGGGGTGAAAAGAGAGGAAAATACAGACAGACCCCACCACCCGAGATCAACAGGCAGCAGCTACAGGCCTGATGTTCCTCCACGCCTCCATCCAGGCCTTTCACCGCCACCTGTCTTTCTCCAGACCCTGAATCTTCCCAACCTCACCAAGGATGCCACACACCACCACCTGGACGGAGAGACTTTCTGCTGAAGGGATACCTGGCACCGTGCGTTCCACGTGTAGTATCGGACCACTAAACTGACTAAGAACAAGGTGTCCAAATCCAAAACCCTGGTGGCTTTCGAATGCTCCATACACCCACTCTGCATAAGTCATGCAGTGCAGGAAAGAAACACCTAGAGCCCCACCCACCTCTTTGTACACTTCCATGTTAAAAGGGCACTGAAGCAAGAAGTGGTCCATAGTTTCCACTTCACCCTGACACTCCGACCTCGGACAACCACGGTCATCCGGAGGACGGTACTTCAAATTACCCCTTACGTAAAGCCTGCCATGGAAAGCGAGCCAGGCCTGGTCTCTAAACTTCAAGGGAATCCGCTCCAGATTTATTAAACGTAAACCCTCCCTCATGATATGGCCTGGGCAATCTTTCAAGGCCAACGGAGCATGGAAGGCGGTCGCCACAATCCTTTCACCCAGGAGTCTCCTAGGGAGGGATCTGACCTCCTCCACCCTCACATGCCACCACCGGAGTAACTTCAGGCACGGTGCCACATAAGCTGGGAGTTTACTGTGCTTGACCCGCAGGCTTTTCACTGGCCCGCCACTCTCCCAACTGTTCAGAAAGGGTCTAAACCAGATCCAAAACAGTCCTACCCATGCAGGTGGTCTCTCTGCCAGCATGTTACCAAAATTATGTTTCAAGAACATCAGAGAGAAAAAAAAACACTGGTTTGACCATACCTAGGCCACCCTCCCGCCTGGATGAGTAGGTCACATCCCGCTTGACAAGGTTCAGCCTGTTCCCCCATAACATCTGGAATAAGCAGCTGTAGATCCTCGTATAGAGCGATTCTGGCAAGAGGCAAACGAAACTGACATACAAAAACACGGGGACCAGGAAAGTCTTGATCAAATCAACCCTTTCCCTCAAGGAGAGCCGCCACCCCTTCCAGCATCTCACCTTGACCTCGGCACCAGACAGTTTGACCTCCCAATTTGATTTGCTATAATCAGCAGGGCCGAAATTGATGCCTAAAACCTTTATACTCTGTTGAGGCACCGGGAAGGTGTCCGGGAGTGAGAAGCTCTCACCCTCCCTCCCTATCCAGAGAACTTCGCATGTGTCCTGGTTGACCTTGGAACCAGATGCCTCGGCAAACTGATCCATCACTGAGACCACCTCCTGCACCTCCTCTAACCCAGAGATGAAAACAGAAACGTCATCAGCATAAGCCACGACCCTCAGGGGCGGATCCCCAGCGGACCCCACCGGCACCCCACTCATCGCCCACCATCTAGCCTCCTGATAAAGGGGTCAATGGCAAAGGCGTAGAGCAAAGGGCTCAGCGGGCACCCCTGGTGCACCCCAGATCCAACCCCAATGGGTTGCCCAACCCAGCCATTCACCAACAAGAAGCTCTCAGCCTCCTTATACAATGTCTTCAGCCAGCCAATGAACCTCCCCTCCAAACCATACCGGTCCAGGAGATGCCAGAGGTACTCATGTACACATAAATAAATGATGTAGCGCTTAAACATAAACAAAAAATGATAAAGTGACCCCCAAGTGGAATAACTGTATACTCATTCCTAGCATAAGCCTTTAAATAGTGAAGCAATCCACATGTGCAGGAACAAACCAAAGTCCTTTATCCACACAGGCACTGCAAACAGTACACACGAGAAAGTCCAGTGATCCGTGTCACATTCCTTTTATGCATGCAAATCAAAGGAATGTGTATGAACCCCACACACCCTCGAATGTGATCCAGTAACGGCTAAAATGGCCTCTCACCTCCAACCTGCGACCCTGCAGGGCCACAGCGCTTTTTGTAAAATATACCACCACTAGAACTAGGATGGGCTCCTCACGATTGTGTGACTTGAAAATGTTTCCACAGGACACAACTTCCACCTCTCCTCTAGTATCCTTGCGGGCCAATGAGCCAGATGGATCCCAGCTCAGATCCCCATAAGACAAAAGAAGACATCCTCCATAGTGCAGACCGTTTATTAAAACATTTAAAAAAAGTAAAATACAAACTCACATAGGCAGAGTTTCATACAGCGTTTTCCCCATATGCTGGGTGTAGGCATAGACCTCAAAGGGTGTTCCAAGATGGCGCCACGCCGGAAGTGCGTCACCACGTTGTACCGTCGATGCGTTGCGTCACGTGACCTCGTGACTTCATCAGGACTCAACGGTCTGCACTATGGAGGATGTCTTCTTTTGTCTTATGGGGATCTGAGCTGGGATCCATCTGGCTCATTGGCCCGCAAGGATACTAGAGGAGAGGTGGAAGTTGTGTCCTGTGGAAACATTTTCAAGTCACACAATCGTGAGGAGCCCATCCTAGTTCTAGTGGTGGTATATTTTACAAAAAGCGCTGTGGCCCTGCAGGGTCGCAGGTTGGAGGTGAGAGGCCATTTTAGCCGTTACTGGATCACATTCGAGGGTGTGTGGGTTCATACACATTCCTTTGATTTGCATGCATAAAAGGAATGTGACACGGATCACTGGACTTTCTCGTGTGTACTGTTTGCAGTGCCTGTGTGGATAAAGGACTTTGGTTTGTTCCTGCACATGTGGATTGCTTCACTATTTAAAGGCTTATACTAGGAATGAGTATACAGTTATTCCACCACTTGGGGGTCACTTTATCATTTTCTGTTTATGTTTAAGCGCTACATCATTTATTTATGTGTATGTGAGAATCACCTATTCAGTATAGGATTGGATGTTAGCAGCTGCTGAATATCTGGTGTGAGATAGATATATTTTTTCCCACTACTGTCTTACATAAGAGCGCAAGAGGATTTTGTATTATATTACAGAGGTACTCATGATTGACTCGGTCAAAGGCCTTAGCCTGGTCCACTGCCAGCAGAAACTTTCCCCATCCTTCAGCCTTACACCGTTCCAGGGCCTCCCGGACAGCTAACATGCTGTGAAGGTACTCCTGCCCTGGACCAAGCAATGCTGCTGACGTGAAAGCAAGCCATCTGCCACTGATGACAGGCGCCAGAACAAGATCTTAGCCAGAACCTTTCTATCGACATTGAGAAGGCTAATGGGGCGCCAATTCTCAATAGCCAAAGGATCCTTACCCTTTGACAAGAGAATCACTGCAGACTGCCTCATGGAGGGAGGGAGGGACCCCTCACCCAGACAGTAGTTGTAAACCTCCATGAGGCGAGGCGCCAAGCTGGACTTAAAGGTTTTAAAAAAACTCAGCTGTCAGGTCGTCTGTCCCAGGAGTCTTCCTAATGACCAGACTATCAATGGCTTTGACCACCTCTTCTGCAGTAATCTCCCCAGTCAAACTCGCAGGTGGAACATTACTGTCCAGACCCGGTGTAGACTCCAAAAAGCTCAACATCCTTGTCCGGTCGAGGCACTTCTCACCCAGCAAGTCCTCATAAAAGGACCTAGAGACCTCCAGGATCCCTGACCTGGATCTTGTCAGGGACCCCGTACTATCCCTTAGGGCAGAGACCGTCTTAATCGCTGCACTCTGTTTGCAATTCTGGAAAGGGTGGGGCGAGTGGTACTTCCCATAATCCCTCTCCAGAACCAAAGAAATACACCGGTCATACTGGTACTTCCTGAGGAGAAGCTTGGCCTCTGAGATTGCCCCAGAATCTCCACCGCTAGAAACAAGGCGGTCGAGCATCCTCTGCAACCGTTGGTAGGCGATGTACTTATCAAACTGCCTCCTTTTACCTATGGCCTTGAAAAACCTGCCAATCCGCACCTTGGTAAGTTCCCACCACTCCGACTTACTGTCGCAGAGATCCAGCACAGTCTCCTGAGCCTGAATGAACTCCTCGAAGGATTGTCTCACCTCCTCGTCCTCCAGCAGAGACGAATTCAACCTCCAGATGCCCTTCCCTCTCAGCGGCATGTCTGAAACATTCAAAGTCACAGTAAGCATAAGGTGGTCAGAAAACTCCACCGCCCGACACTCGGGTGCCGAGAAGGCAGAGTCCTCCTTCAAAAAAAACCTGACTATCCTACTCTGACTATTACCTCTCCTAAACGTGAAACCAGTGCTGTCCAGGCTGCTCTTAACCAAGGCATCCACCAGACCTGCTTCCCTGTCTATGGCATTTAGAAAAACTCTGTCATATCCCAGCCTGTCATTGACGCCCCTCCTGTCCTTGGGCCTAGTTATGGTATTAAAGTCACCTCCAAAGACCACCAGCCGGGACGTAAAAAGGAAAGGCTTGATCCTTGTGAAGAGGCACTTTCTGTCCCACTTGGACTACGGTCCATATATATTGATTAGGCGCAGTTCCTGCCCCCTCACAAGGACATCCAATATCAAACATCTTCCAATCTCCACCTCAATAACCCGCCGGCACGTTACCATACCGGTAAAAAGCACTGCAACTCCGCTGTAAGGCTCAGCCGCAAGAGACCAGTAGGATGGCCCACGCCTCCACTCCCACTTGGCCAGATGTATATCCACCAGGCTGGACAACCTGGTCTCCTGCAAAAAGAAAATATCAGCATCCATACCACTGATCAAAAATAAGGCTGTCTCTCTAGCACTTACAGACCTCATGCTGGCAACATTAATAGTTGCCACCTTTAACGGAGTGGGAACTGCCATCAAGGAGATTGAGAGGGGTGTTTCTTAACCTTCCTTTTGGACTTTTTGGAAGGGTCCCTCAACCTTTTTAGAGACCTTCCCACCTCCTCATTCCCCATCGGAAAAGCGGGGTCACTTGAGACCTCCCCCTCCTCCCCCGACAGAGACCCAACATTTTGTCCAGGGCCAGATCCCCCACCTCCAGAGAGGAAACTGACCCTGCTGTAGAAAGAAACTGCCTCATTCCATTTTCCCACAACTGACCACCCTTCCCCCACTGGGACCTCCACCTGCCCACCCTGGACAGGACCCTGAACTTCCTGAGGAACTTTCTTAGGCCCCACACCCCTCCGCAATGGAAGAAGGACTGGGGGAACAGGCACAGAGGGCCCAGATGTAACCACCACCCCTGCCCCTTGGGCAGCCTCCACTAATCTCTTCCTTCTCCTAGGAGGGGGGTGTCAGGAATGGACTCGCCAATAGTGGTGGGACTCACCTGCCTTGTGGGTTGCAGTACCAGGGGCTCATTCCTGCAATCAGCCAAAACACCTGAGGCTGATTGCAGGAGTTGCATATAAGGAATGACCAGGCCTGTGATCTGGGCCTTGGTGTATGTTTCCCATGAGCCCCTGTACCTGGTATCTGTGTTCCTGCCTTGTTGCTGACCCTGCTTTGATCCTGACCTCTGCTGACCATCTCCTGTTGAACCCCTGGCTTGCCTGACCATCCTTCTGCCTGATCCTCGGTACCACGCTGCCCGCTACCTGCTGAACCTGGCTTGTGACCCCGGCCATTCTCTGCTTGCTCCTCCTGTACCATGCTGCCCGCACGATACCGACCCGGCCTGTCTGACTACGCTTACTTCACCCGACGATCCATCCATTTCGCACGGATCACCTTTGGTAAGTCTGCCTGCCTCTTCCCATCAGACTCCGTTCCTGCACTCCCCTGCCAGTACTCTCTACCACAGCCGGACACACTCAGGGGTCACGACCTGGTTCCAGTCTGCACCAAGTCCATCCCCACCATCAGGGGCCCTGGTGAATACAGGCTGGGACTTAAACCCCCCGCGCCCTGAGGAAATCCGTGCTGTGGGCTGCTAGAGACACTGCCAGGTGGCACCTGACAGTACCTTATGGCCTGCCTGACCATTCCACCTCTCCAGCCTGACTACGCCTGTGTTCTTGAAGCCTGCTACTTCCCTGTGTCAGTCCACACATTTCTGGTCATACCCGGATCCCTAACAGGGGGACAGGCACAGCAGGGGAAATGACAGAGGACTCAACAAGGGCAGACTCAACAGGGGGGACAGAGACAGAAGGGGCAACAGAAGCAGAAGGGGCCTCAGGAACCCCCCCCCCCTCCACCTCCAGAGTCTGCTGCAGAGGCCAAGCTGGTCTTCTCTGCCTGTATTTCCACCTCCTCTGCATCGAGCCTATCCAGCTCCGCCGCCAACTCACCCTCGGACAAGTTACGGAGAGCCTCGGGACACTGGCTGTAGGCATGCCCCAGGACTCCGCACAAGTTGCAACGGATGATGTTGCAATCTCTCGCCAGGTGACCTACCTCCTGACAAAGAGAACACCGGATGACGGGACACGAGGCAGCAAAGTGTCCCTTGCCCCCACACCTGTGACACACCCGTGGCTGACCGGTGTAGAAGACAATGAGCCTATCCCTCCCCAAAAAAGCAGAGGATGGTATGTGCTGGAGCACATTACCCACCACTTTCAGGCGGACAGTGGTTGTCCATCCACCTGTCCATATCCCCCTGTCATCTACAATTTTGCTCAGGAGCCCTAAAACATCTCCAAACCTCCCCAACCAGACGACAATATCGGAGGCCGGGACTGACTCATTCCGGACCAAGATTGTAACCTTCTTTACCACATTCTGGTGGGAGATAAGCTTGGGGGTGAGGCCCACCCACCTGGGGCTATGGATATAGGTGGCCTCAAACCTTTGCCAGAAGAGGTCAAGAAGCTCAGCCCTCATGAAAGAGACATTATATTTGCCCGTTCCCACCAGGGCGATGAAAGCAAAGATGTCCACTGCCCAGAATCCCATCTCTAGGACCCGATCTATGACCCCTCTGCGACTTAAAGGGGGGCCCTCCCCGGTCCATTTTAGCTGGACCACATTTCTGCGTGCGGCTGAGGTGGGCAGGTTGCCAGCACGCGCCTGGAGTGGTCTAGCTGGCTCCTGACCTACCCTCACCGCCACTGAATAGCTCAAGGCAGGCTTGGCCACCAGGCCACCTACAGCAGAAGGACTTGCAACTGGGGGGCTGTAATGGGGGCACCAGAACTCAGAGGGGCCTCCCCTGGTGATACGTGAGCAGATGGGACCTGAGGCCGGAGGCCTGGACCTCTAGGGGAGGGGTTTAGCGGAGCTTGACCCGACTCGGAGGTAAATCGGAAGCGATGCACGTCCAGTCCCTGCTCCACTTCTGGTACAAAGTGGAGCTCGCCAGCCGCTTCCGCCTCCTCCATCCTGGTTCCCCAATCAGCGGGCTGCTGACCAAGGGGGAGGGACCCAGAATCTTCCAAGCTTCAAGCTGCCCAAGCTTGCCGCAACTTCCGCGTCTTCCATAATAGGCGCAGCACTGCACTGAGAGAGGACACAGCGGGCCAAGCCAGCCCCTGCTCCGGCTCACCTTTCACCACAGGGAACTCACTCAGCTCCTCCATGGAGGAGACTTCTTCCACGGGCCCTCTAGCCACCACCACGTGCTTACTCCTAGCCGCTGTCATTCCCAAACTTTTCTTTGAGCGCACCGCTCTTTTTCTTGAGGGCAGACACATACTTGGCCTGCTGAGAGATTTGTTTTCTCACCTTGTGAACTCTGATGATATCTCTCCCAAGCAGGAGCACTATCTGAGCCTGGGGATCAAGCTTAGGGATGAGATGTGCTATGCTTTTAAGATGTCTGTGGTGAAATGCCACCGCAGGCGTATGGATCTCCCCTCTTTCAGTTGGGCAATGTTGGATTTTCTGAGACACATAAAATACTTCTTTAGTGTCTATAGGCAATTATGCTTGTAATTAAAGAGTCGGAAAGGTAAAAAATAAAGTGTGATTTTATTTTATCACACAATGGCTTAAAATAACAATGTAAAATGTATCATGAAAAGTTCCATGTAGATAAAACCAGAAATATCATAGTGGAAGTTTAAAGATGTGTCACCCTTATGTCCATTGCCTCATGTCCAACTTCCATGTTCAGTTTGTCCTTCAGGGTCTTTTGAGAAGAAGACGGAAGTAGACGGGAGTGACTACTTCTTGTCTTACAGCACCTGTTCCAGCTCCTCAGAATGTTCTTATGCGTGTCTGTATGGACAGACGTGTGTGTGTGTGAGTGTGTATGAGTGTG